TGGGCCTCCACCCGGGAGTGGAATTGTAGTGAATGCTGATTTCCTTGTCAGTCCTCCTGCCAGACTGCAAGCACCTTGCAGGCAGAGGAAGGACAGCCAATCCCAGGGGCTGGCATGGAGCGAGTTCCTGAGGAGCAAAGTGGATGAGTCCCGGGCATCCAGAATAGATGCCTTCCTTACCCTCCATTATCTGCCTATCGGTCTGTGCAATGTGGTGATCCAGGCTCTGTGCCAATGATGCGACTCATTTTTTAAAAAGTATTTATTTATTTATTCATGAGAGACACAGAGAGAGGCAGAGACACAGGCAGAGGGAGAAGCAGGTTCCCCTGTGGGGAGCCTGATGTGGGACTCAATCCAGGGACTCTAGGATCACAACCTGAGCCAAAGGCAGATGCTCAACCACTGAGCCACCCAGGCATCCCGATGGCATGACTCATTTGATCTCATTAGCTCACCCCTCACTCGCTCTGATATTTGCTTGTGTCCACTGTCACCTCCTCACCCTTGTCTGACTGAAGTAGCCTGCCAGCACTTGTGCCCACTTTCTTTTCCTCCATGGCACTTACTACCACTGACATATTATATAGACAATGCATTTTAAATAGCATATAATGGATAATATATATGTCACTTGTTTGTTCATTCCCCTTTTACTCTTTTTCTGCACTAAAGACATATGCTCTGTGAGGATGGGGGCCTTGGTCTTTTTTGTATTCATTGTTCTCTCCTGGTGTCTAGAGCAGTGCCTGGCCTATGAGAGGCATTCAGATATTTATGAAGTACTCAGGTGAATGAATGCATTTAATCCTCACTGTACCCTCCAACCAAGGGGGCCATGATTATTCTCATTTTACAGACCCCAAAACTGAGGCTCAGAGAGATCAAGTAACTTACCCAAAGTCACACATCTCATCAATGGTAGAATCAGAGTTTTAAGCCAGATCTCTCAGAGTCCCAGTCCCACATTTTTTTCCAGTTCCCAAGGGGTGGGGGTGAGAGCCATAGCGATAACGTCCATAGTGCTTCTCTGTGGCCTTGGACTGCAGTGTATGATTAAGATAACTTAAAAAAATAGATTTACTCTCTTAAACATGTTTTATTTAGGTTATTTGGTGATGAGTTTGTATATCCTGAGCAAATACACCAATCCAAAGTTTGCTGGGTGATGGAGAAGCTGACCTGGGCTTGATTTTCTCTGCTCCCAGTAATCAGAGCTCTTCAGCCCCTCTGAGCATGAGCTTCTGGGAGGTACAAGGGTGATGGTAGCATCTGCTACATGTACACTTCTTAGTACAAGTGCACACTCTTTAAAGGGGAGATAATGCCATATCTCAACCTCAGTGCTGAGAATCACAATATGCATAGCTAACATTCATGGAGTTCCTGCAGGTGTCAGGTGCTGGGCTAAGTAAGCACATCAGTTGTGCTGTTGCATTTATCTTCATACTGTTCCCCTGAGGCAGGTCCTATTGTTGTCCCATTGCACGGGTGATAAAGCTGACTCAGAGAGATCAGATAAGTGCCTAAGGCCACATAGCCAGTAAGCGGGTAGCCAGACATAGGGCCAAGTCACAAGACTCCAGAGCTGGCTCTTAGTCATGGGATTCACCATGTGTAACTCTAAATTTGAAGATTTACACACCACCATAGTGATGGTATGGTGACTTTGGTAGAATGTTCTGGCAAAGTCTGGGAGAAGGGAAGAGGGAGACCAGTGTCAGAAATGAGCCCTCTCTCCAGTTTCTATTCCCATTTGGCTCATCTGTGATGGCCCAGGATCCTTGATTAAGTCCCAGCCCTCTGTTTTCAGATGCATGGTTGTTGGGGTGGCACAGGCCCTGGGTTTGAATCCCAGCTCCAGTCCCCCATCTTCATCCGGTGTGACCTTGAGCCCATCTTCATCTCTGCACATCTATGTCCTTATTTACAAAGTAGAGATCAATATGGCCCTTTGCACACAGAAAAATTAAGTAAGATGTAAAGCGGTCCAAATATAACAAGTGAAGAAAGCAGATGACAAATCATTAAGATCTTATGGCATTTCTTAAAAAAATATGTACAGAAAACCATCTGGCAGGCTCCACTGCCAAACATTAATAGGGATGGTGGTTAGGCTGTGGAGCTACATTGCCTTTTTCCTTATCCAAATTTTCTAATTTTTCTATAATGAATATATAATAACCAAATGAGTAGTTTTAATTGAAAATGGGGCAGTGAGTCAGTGTTCATGAAAGCACTTTGCAAACTGTCAAATGTTCTATAAATTAGCTCTTGTTATGGTGCTTATAGTAATTATTATGTTTATTGCTAGTTGGCCATGAGCTGGAATTTGTTTCTGCCCCTCTTCTCTTCTTTGGCCTGTGATGGGAGGGCCCTTCCACCAGGTCCTGCTTTGTCATGCAATGATTCCCCAACTACTTCTCTCCATCTTTGCTGCCACTCCCCACGCAGGGACCAGCATCATCTCTTGCCTGGCACACTGCAAAACCCTTCACGGGCTCTCCTTGTCCAAACAGGATCTTTGAAAAAGGAGCTTTCTATCAAAACTCTCACTGGCTTCCGATTGAATGTGGCATGAAATCCACACTGCAGTTTGGCCTGTGGTCCTGGTGGTCTGTCCCTCACCTGTCCTTTCACGCTCTCCTTGGGCCACTCATCTCATTATCACCATGCCTTGGTGCTTACTGCTTTGGAGAAGGCACCCCAAAAAGGTCCCCAAAAAGGGACCTAAGAAAGTGCCTACCCTAACCTAGATGGATTTGGAGCCTGTCTACCTGGTCTTCTTTGACCCTCATGCTTTTGTATCTCTTAGCATGGAGTTTGTGCAGAGACCACATTGGTATTTACCCCTCCAATACGGCAAATGAGTAAAAAAAAATTAATGCATAATTGGATTTTTAATATTTATTTTTTTGGTTTAACTTAAACCAGGGCCTTCCTACCTATGTGCTTTTGTCCTTTGACATCGTCCTCCCCTCGCCCCACACCTGCCATGGTCTTTCCTTGGTTCTTGGCAATCCCCTTCTTGTTCTCAATGCCAGCTTACATGTCACTTCCTTAGGAGGCTGAGCACTCCACCTGAAGTCAGCCTCACCTCCAACATTTTTATTTTTAATTTTTTCATTTGAAATTTTTATTGACCTAATTATGCATTGATATACAGTCATAAGAAATAATGCAGAGTGATTCTGTTACAGTCTGTTCAGGCTACTATAACACATACCACAGAATGGGGGGTGGGGCTTACCCAACAGACATTACTTCTCCCAGTTCTGGAGGGGAAGTCCAAGATCAGGGTACTGGTGGATTTGGTTCTTGTTGGGGATCTTCTTCCTGGCCTCTAGACAACCACCTTTGAGGTCTCACATGGCCTTTCTTTCCTTGGACCACCTGTGTCTTCATCTCCTTGTAAGAGCACGAATCCCACCCCGAGGGCTCCACCTGTACCACCTCGTCGTAACCCAGTCACCTCCCTAAGGTCCCAACTCCAAGTACCATCACCTGGGGGTTAGGATTTCAACGTCAGAATTTAGGAAGGAATTGAACACTCAGCCCGTAACAGATCCCCTATACCATTTGCACAATTTCTCCTAATTGCTAACTTTGGTGAAACTGTAGTACAGCATCGCAACCAGATTATTGACTTCAAATGCAACCTCCTGATCCTTTGGATTCGTTCAGGTTTCCACAGTTTTAGTTATACTTGTGTGTGTGTGTATGTGTGTGTGTGTATTTACTTCTATGCAATTTCATTACTGGGTAGGTTCACATATCCTTCACCCCAGTGAAGATAGCAGACGGTTCCAACAGTGCACACGTCCCTTGCATTTGTCCTCTTATGGCCACATCCATCTGCCTCCTGCCTGTGTCCTCCATCTCTAAACCCCAGCAACCATCAATCTATCCTTCCCCTCTAAAACATGGTCACTTCAAAAATGGAACATGAATGGGATCTTCCAATATGGAACCTGGGGTTGGCTTTCTCTACCCAGCACAGTTTTCTGGAAAGTCACCCAGGTTACTATGTGTTCGATAGTTCATTGTTTTTCATGGCTGCATAGCGGTCTATGACTGACATGCCCCACAGCTTGGTGACCATCCACCAATTCTTATCATATCTTACCAGTTCTCTTATCACATCTATTCTGGTCCCCACCCCACCCCCAACTCCCTACCTGGCACTCATCCTCCTCTGAAATCCTTTCATGGGTGTCTTTTCTTGTCTGTCGTGTCTTTCCTTTGCAGAACTTTTAAGTCTAGGGTACCAGGGAGCCTGGACTGGGTGTAATCTATTACACCTTTCTCAAGCATAGTGCCTGGCACATTCAGAAAGTGTTGGGTGAAGGTGTGCCCAAGCTCATGGCAAGAGCAGAGTTGGGAGAAGTGTGCAGTGGCTGAATAAGTGGGCAGGGAGTGACTGGGGACGAACTTGACCTCTGCAGAATTCATGTATCTCATTTGGGGCTAGCTAGTAAAATTGCTTTGGAAGGGAAAAGTTATCCTTGAAAATCCTTTAAATCACCTTGAAGTTGCTGGAAGTAGGATCCTTGGAAGCTCAAAAGGCGAGAATTAACTCCTTTGCTTGTCTGGACATTTGAATTGTGGGCTCCACAGCCACAGGAGAGATGGGGGCAGGGCTGTTGAATGAAGATTATGGGGAGAGGGATTTCATTCTCTTTTTGGAGGGGCCGAGGGGAGATGAATTTATGTAAATGGGTATGCAGTATAGTGAGCACACAGTGTAATGTGCACACACAGTGCAGTGTGTATAGGATGTCATGTGCATATGGTGTAAGATGCAGAGCTATAAGACATGTATGCTGTAAGGTGCATAAGGGTAGCATGTATACACAGTGTGCTATATATAGGATGTGATGTGCACAGGCCATAAGGTACATTCACTGTAACATGCGTACATGGTAGGGTGCGTACAGTATAACTGGCCAGGCTTTCTCATGGCTTATCTGTTGTCTCTCTGCTCCTTTGTTCCAACTCAGGAGGCAACCTTTCCAAACAAGACTGGACCATCCAGTGGCCCACCACGGAAACGGGGAAGGAGAACAACCCTGTGTGCCCCCCGGAGCCCACCCCGTGGATCCGCACCCACCTCTCCCAGAGCCCCAGGGTCCAGACCAAGTGTGTCCAGCACTACTGTCATGCCAGCCCCTCACCCGGGGCCCCCGTGTACACTCACATGGACAGGCTAACTGTGGATGCCTACCCGGGTCTGTGCCCGCCACCGCCACTGGAATCAGGCCACCGCTCCCTGCCCCCGTCGCCCCGGCAGCGGCACGCGGTCCGCACCCCGCCACGCACCCCCAATATCGTCACCACCGTGACCCCACCTGGCACACCACCCATGAGGAGGAAGAACAAGCTGAAGCCCCCAGGGACCCCACCGCCCTCCTCCCGGAAGCTGATCCACCTGATTCCAGGTTTCACTGCCCTGCATCGAAGCAAGTCCCACGAATTCCAGCTGGGTCACCGTGTAGATGAGGCCCACACTCCCAAGTAAGTGTGTTTGGTGGGTGCCCTGGGGCTCCTGAACCCCGGGGCTGTCAGGGGCTGCCCCATGGCCTCAGGACCACCCCTTGTGCACTTGCATTTCCTCTCTTCAGTGGAATGAAAGGTGGCTTTTCCTGGAGGGCCCATGAGAAAATGAAAAGCATTTCCCAGAAACAATCCTTTTTATAACTATGGATTCTCTCATGTAGGGGGCGGTAAACCATCGCCTAGTGGCCAGATCTGCATTTATTGACACAGCCAGGTTCATTTCTTTGCGTGTTGTCCCGTGCGTGCTTTTCATGCTGCTTGGCTGAGATGGGGATGGCCCGCAAAGCCGAAAGTATTTGCCATCTGGGTCCTTGACAGGGAAGGCTCACTGGCTCCTGCAGAGCTGGAGCTGTTGGTGCCCGGAGAAATAGGCTGTGAGCTGCATATCTAGCCTTATATTTTCTTAAAAAGAGTAAAAAGGAACAAGTGATATCTTTATAATATGTGTCATTTAATCTAATATATCAAAGGATTACCACTGCAACATAGAATTGATATAAAATATTAACACCGAAGTGTCTTCCATTCTTTTTCCCATATGAAGGCTTGGAGATCCAGTGTGTATTTTACACCTACAGCTCATCTCAATTCAGATTCCCTGCATTCTAAGTGTGCAGTAGCCCCATGGGGGCAAGTGGCTGCTGTACTGGCAGCATGCATGTGGGACATGCTCAATGTTTCTAAAGAGAAGGCATGGTCAGGTCTGCTTGGGGTCAGGGGTGGGTCAGAGAGTGGAGAATTAGACTATCAGAGCAAAGGACTTCATACAGAAGCTTAGGGTGGACCTGTAGGCACCCAGGGGAGACAGTCATCAAAGTGGGTGCAATATATACATGGCTGTGGTTTGGGGGGTGGATCTTGCTGCCAGCAGAGGGTGATGTGGTATCTGTAGCTACATACTGGCTAGTGGAACGGACAGGGAAGCCCTCTGCAGGGTCCCTCGGAAGCAGGCTGTGGCCTGGGTCCCTTACATTGTTTTGAGGTTCTCAGTATATTAAAATGGAAGGAAGGCTATAAACAGGTTTACGAAAGTGGGTAGGATGTATTAAATATTTACACTTGAGCAAAATTGCCATTGAGGCATAGAACAGAAAAATGATAATTTATAAGCTTTAGGAGATACCATAAGGCTTCTAAGTCTGGCACCTGTTACATATGAGTCCTGGATCTCTGCTCTGGGATCCCTGCAGCTAGGATGTGGGGGATCAGTGCACAGAGTTCCACTGCACGCCAAGGCCTGTGTGGGGGCTGAGGCCAGCTAGAGACAAAGTGTCTGGCCCAGGCTTCTGTAGGAACAAAATGGAGAGGCACTGGCTGGCTGCACCTGACCTTCACTTGGCTTCTTGTGACATTGCAAAGGCTCTCAGGGATTTTCAGACCCCCCACCCCTTAGCTGTACCCATTCCTCTTTGACTCAGGCTGACTCTCTGTCTCAGCAGATATGCAGAGGGAGTCAGGGGGCTTGCCCCAATCTCAGACCTTCTCCCTTCCTCCTGTCTCAAGCAATAGAAAGCCGTGATGTGGCTGTCATCTGTTACTTTTGCAACATGGTCCCAGCATCCTCTGGGACTCACAACTGACCCCTTCTATTGCCCTTGATCATCCCTCAGGGGGTTCAGAGTAGCCCCTGCCTGTGAGGGTCTTCACTGTTTGAGCCAGTGTCTTATGAGCTCTCATCACCATATGCAGGTGGATCTAAGACATTGATTGTTAAGTTGCATCCTGAGATAAATGTAAAATTTGTATGTCTTAGAATTGATGAAATGTGGTTTATTCTCATCTCTGGGCTAGTTGGTGGGGGTATGATGGGAAGCAAAAAAAGACATAGCCTTGATCTTGTAAAGTCTGACATTAATCAAATAACCACACATGAATATTGTAAAATTGTGTCCAGTAATTTCAAACAGTGTTACAGGCTATAAAGATGCAGTGTAGGGCACCATCAGAGCTTATGACCAGATGGAGCTGATCGAGTTTGGGGTGGCAAGAAGGTGAGTGAGGGGCTTGGGGAGAGTCTGGTTACACAGAGTTCCCAGAAGTGATGTTTAGGCTGAAGGCTAGGGAACAGTTAAGATGGAAAAGGAGTGGAGGTGGAGGGCATGGGAGGTCTTCCTGCCAAGAGGTGTTAAGGGGTCATGATACATTTGAGGAATCGACAGGAGGTGATGGAAGGCCTCTGTGGCTACAGGACCAAGGTGTATGATGCAGGAGGAGGCTCCAGAGTTAGGCAGGAGGCAGTGCTATTCACGGCAGCCCCAGAGTGGAAACAGCACTATTGTCTATTGGTGGGTGAATGAATAAACCATATGTGGCCTCTGTATCCAGTGAAGTATTATTTAGCCATCAAAAGAAATGAAATTCTGACACATGCTTCAACGTGGATGAATCGTAAAGACAGTATGCTAAGTAGAAGAAGCCAGTCACAAAAGGACAGCTATTGTGCAAATACACAAAACAGGCAAATTCATAGAAACAGAGAGTAGAAGGGTGGGTGCCAGGGGCTGGGGGAGGGGAAATGGGGATTAGTGTCTATTGGGCACAGAGTTTCTGTTTCAGAAATGAAAAAGTTCTGGAGACAGGTGGTGATGATGGTTGTACAATATGGGAAAGTACTTAATGCCACCAACACTGTACCCTTAAAAATGGCTAAAATGGTAAACTTTATGTTGTATATATTTACAATACTTGACAAACTTTTTCTGTAGAGGGCCAGATAGTGAATATTTCAGGCTTTGCGGGCCATATAGTCTGCACCTCTGTCATTATAGCAGAAGCAGCCAGAGTTAATAGGTAAATAAATGGACATGACAATGTTCCAATAAAACTTTACTTGTAAAAAAATAGGTGCCTGGCTGGGTTTGGTGCCACAGGCTATAGTTTGTGCTATCAGAAGCCATGCTATCGAAAGTGATTTTTCCTTATAAGGCACTGGGAAGGTCTTCAGGGTGGAAGGCATGATCCCATATGATGGTCACTCATGGTCTGAGGCTGTGGTTTCTCCCAGCTGTGCATCTCCCTCATCCCTCCCTGTGCTGACCACCAGGTGTCATGAAACTTAAAAGAAGGTAGAACTCATCTCTGTAGACACATGATCTTTGTTCTATAAGGAAGGGCTGACCTTTGGGGGCTTTCTCTAGCTTTACTGACATATAATATTATGTACATTTAAGGTGTGCAAGCTGATGATCTAACACACAGAGGTATTGTTGTAAAATGATTACTACAATGACATAAGTTTTTTTGTGGTGGGCGTATTTAAGATTTATTCTTTTAGTAACTTTCAAGTATATAATACAGTGTTGTTAACTGTAGTCACTAGGCTGTACATTAGATCCCCAAAACTTATTCATTGTGTAACTAGAAGTTTTCATCCTTTGGCCAACATCTCCCCATTTCCTTCAATCCCTGGCAATGACATTTGACTCTGTTTCTATGTTTGATGTTTTTAGATTCCACATACAAGTGAGATAATGTAGTGTCTTTCTCTGTCTGACTGATTTCACTCAGCATAATGACCCTGAAAGTCTATCCATATAGTTGCAAATGTTAGGATTTCCTTCTTTTTTATAGCTAAATAATATTCCAGTGTGTGTGTGTGTGTGTGTGTGTAACATTTTCTTTATCCATTCATCTGTCGATAGACACGTAGGTTGCTTCCATGTCTTGACTACTATGAATAGTGTTACTATAAACAAGAGATTGCAAATATCTCTTCAAGATGGAAATTTCATCTCCTTTGGATATATATCCAGAAGTAGAATTGCTGGATCATATGGCAATTCTATTTTAATTTTTTTTGATGAACCTTTGTACTGTTTTCCATAGTGGTTGCACCAATTTACATTCCCACCAATGGTGCATGATGGTTCCCTTTTCTCCACATCCCTACCGGAACTTATCATCTCTTGTCTTTTTGATAATAGCCATTCTAATGGGTGTGAGGGGAAGTCTCATTGTGGTTTTGATTTGTATGTCATCAATGAGGAGTGGTGTTAAGCAGCTTTTTGTTTATCTGTTGGGCATTTGTATGTTTTCTTTGGAAAGAATGTCTATTCAGGTTTTCTGCCTATTTAAAAATCAGATGATGATTATTTTTTGCTATTGAGTTGTAAGAGGTTTTTTTATATAATTTGGTTATTAATGCCTCATCAAATTTGCAAATATTTTCTCCCATTCTACAGATTGCTTTTTTGTTTTTTTTGATTGTTTCTTTTGCTATGCAGAAGCTTTTTAGTTTGATATCATTATGTCTGTTGATTTTTGCTTCTGTTGTTTGTACTTTTGGTAGCATATCCAAAGGAGTCATCAAGGAGCTTTCCCCTGTTTTCTTCTAGGAGCTATAGTTTTGGGACTTATCTTTAAGTCTTCAATTCATTTTGAGTTAATTTTTGTGAATGGTATAAGATAGGGATTCAGTTTCCTCCTTCTGCATGTGAATATTCAGTTTTCCCAATGCCACTTATCCTTCCTTATTGAGTGTTTTTGCCTCCCTTGTCAAATATTAGTTGACCATATATACTTGAGTTTATTTCCGGGCCTTTGATTCTGTTCCATCAGCCTATATGTCTATTTTTATGCCAGTACCGCACTTTAAATGTGAGCCTTTCCCCAGACCCCTGAGGGATTTACTTTGTCTGAATAGGGTTGAATCATCTACTTTTTCAAGGCCTTTTCAAATTGACCCGTCCACCATAGCTGTTTTAGAAATTGTCTATCAGGTTTCAGGCCAAGTTCAGGTTGGCCCATCAGAGTTCTTCTGTCTAGTTTAGCAAGTTCAACACTTCCTTGAAGAAAATACTTCTCCTGGCTCACCTCATGAGATGCTGAGATTTATGGCATGGAAGCAGCAGAGTGGTCAGTTTCATGATGTAGAGATGCAGTGTGACCACTTGGCCTTGGACCAAGCCATTAGATCCACAGGGCTATTAGGGTACCTGGCCTTTGGGAGTAAAAGAAAT